CGTATTCGTACTTGAGGGCATAACTTTTAACATTTATTCTGTGAATGAGTTCCTGACTTATTTAGCTGTAAGTTAACACTTGTCCGTTACATTTGGCGGTGAAGAGAGGCTCTTAACCACCAAACCCGCATCAGCTTCTATCTTTTACGTTCTTGACTGTAGTGCTGTATAGAGGTGGTCTTTGTAATGTATGTTTCATTGTAGGAAGCCAAGCGACCCGAGGATACTGAAGCCGACTTAGATGCTCGAATGAGAATGGTGAGCTTCCACCTCCTAATTGATTTTTACCAGTATCACTTTTTTATGGTTGTCACCCTTTTCCATGCCTAGCTCTTCTAGTGCTCTCTATATCTTTTTGTATTTTTTTTTTCGTTTTGGTTGTATCGATGTAGCCTGAGAAAACACCCGGCATTCCGCGCCACCACTGGTTTCTTCGTGGTGACGTCGCGAAATGTTGGCTGTTTTCCTAGGCTAGATTGAAGGGGATTGTTGACGGTGTACATGTGTTTCCAATGGAAAATCGGGGAAAAGGAGCTCATCGAAAAAACGTTCTTTTTATAGCAAGACGTCCTCTTGCGTGTTACTGTTTGGGCTCCCAACCATCATTCTTCTTTAAAGTTAATTCACATATTTATCGTATACAGGAATATCAGGAATACTTGCAGATGGAAAAACAATTACTTGAAGAACTTGGAATCATAGAGGAGTCGGATGATCAGCCCGAAGTTTAGAACGGCGTACTCAACCGCAAGCTATGATCAGTTTTTTGTTCAAAGTGTAAATATTTGTTAAGGCAATCACTTACTTTCAAAGAAGGGATTAATGGGGCTAAAATCCTTTTACCAAAATCCTAAGCTCTTCTCTGAACCTTCCATTGCGATGTAAATACTTTGGTTTTCGAATCGTTTTTGGACAATTTACGAGGCGATTTTTAGCAATGACACTCTGCATTTAGTTAGGGTCACGTCAACGAGTCAGAAAGCATTGTACATATAATTCGATGAGACTGCCTAATTATAGTTGTAACCACCTAAACGTAACGAAAGAGAATGTTTGTCTTGTTCGTTGATTCAAATAAACTGAGAAGATCAGAATGCAAGTTTGATTCTCGGAAAAGTTAGTTTTTTCAAATACCGATTTTATTTGCTAAGCAAGTAGCGTAGAAAAATGTGATGTAGCTAAGACAAAATTAATGATTTCACCACCGTGCACCTGTCAAAGGTAGTTTGAAATAAGAACAAGTAACTGTCTGGCTTCTCCGGCTTCTCTGGCCTTGTGAAATCCCGTTGCCAATACTCATGGCTAAGCAACGGTCAGCAGGTTTACGTAATTTTTAATTTCTTTTTTTTCTTCTCCTCCTTCTCCTTCCTCATTTTCTCCTCAATCTTTTTTTATTGGTCGTGTGTCCAACCCTTTTCTCCCCAGTTCTTCTCTCGGCCACGCCCACGCTTTTTCTCTCACGTTCTTTGACCCCAAAGTCTTCCTCTTCTCAAGTGCAAAATAACAAAGCATGGAAAATACTGTTTTACACTCTCCGAGCATAGGTCTTTACTGGAGGCTAGTGATCGGTGCTTTTAACTCGACAATATCCGGCTCGTTAAATGAATGACCTCTCATAGCTATCTTATGACACATTGGAGAGATTCACGTTAACGGAAAATCGGCAAATGTCAATTTTTACCACTTGACCAAGTTCTCCCTCTACTTGTCGTTTATTATTCATAATATCTACACATAATAAGTATTATTATTATTATCATTATTATTATTATACATTGTACTCATTATCTGTCTTCTCATTGGCTAAGAGCTTACAACGAATTTTTGAAATCAGGGCAACCTACAGATTAGTTAGTTATCTCAAGAGAGGATAAAGGGGACAGAGACGGCATCCCCAATACACACCCTATTCCATAGGTAATTCGTCTCGAGTTATTTTTAAGACCACAGATTCCGAGGGGGATTAGACAACAGCCAATCACATGGCGCGAATGTGTTCCGCGTGGATGACCTACGCTCAGAGCCACGCGTCCTTCAAGAATTGACGCTGAAAAAAATGGCGAAAGACGCGGAGAGCGCTATTGCTATTCGTTTTGTCGACGAAAACGACTAAAGAGAGATTTCTGCTAAAGCAGTGTCAGCGAAACGGAAATTAAAAAAGAATCGCCCTTCCTCTTTTGTATAGAGCTAACAGTACAGCAGGGAAATCCTTAACACAGTGAATATTCTCTCAGGATCATTTATAATTTACAGTTTGAAGAGAGCAATTTCTGGTTTGATAATTTATTCTTTTATTAGTCTTTTATTATTCAACAAAAATAACACTTGGCGTCCTACTTGCTTTATTGTATAAACGACCGGTTTCAATAGACCGGCGAAATTTCTAATTTTATTAAAGCACTGAGGTTACGACAACGTCGAGTTAAACTGATTTCACGGGTTGTCAGAGTCCAGCGATTCTCTTTTCCCAGGTGAGCGGCGACTCATTTCGCTTCAATATTCAGGAATGCTCTCGATCTCTTTACGCTTTCATTGCTTTTCGCCCGACATGTTTTACACGGCGTTTAGGCATGCGAAAACTCCACGAAACATCCACGCAGCGCGCGAGGTAACTTTATCCCGATTCTAAAAATAACTCGAGACGAATTACCTATGGAATAGGGTGTGTATGGGGGATGCCTTCTCTGTCCCGTTTATCCTCTCTTGGTTATCTGCTATCAGATAACTGATAATCTGTAGGTTGCGCGCGCAGTGCATGATTTCCACTAACAATTTGCGACGGTGTGTTTGTCGTTATTTTCTTCAATACAATGTATAATAAAAACAATTATTAGATTCGGTTTTTGTGATATCCTAAACAATCAAGGTCTCGGTAAGTGTTATCAGCCTGGGCCTTCGGCTCGGCTGATAACATTTACCTCGACCTTGATTTTTCCGGATATCATCAAAACCTCATCCAATAATTGTTTAGTATTTGGCACAGTTTTTATCTGCTGATTGCTTAATTTAAGATATTGCGCTGACAATGAATGCGACACTTGCCGTTTGCCGTAAAAGTGATTCTTAGTTTCTTTCTCGGAGTAAAAGAAAACTCCTTTCAGGGTCAAGGATATAGAGTGTAAACTGATAATGTGATATACAAGTTTCGGTTGTGAATTATGTGAATCCCAGTGTAAGAGGTAGACGGAGTAGCAGCGTGCCTCGAGGCACGTATGTCGCCCTGTTAAAACAATAATTGGCTATCTTTACCCTAGTTAGTTATCGATCACTTGACTTTAATTTGTTAATGGAAGAGTCGCGCACGATTCAAGATCCGCGCCTTTCAATATGGCCTTTTTTGCACAAAAATATAAGTACACAGACGAAATATCGGAAGTATGGAATTCATTCAAGTTAGCTGTTATCGCTCTACGATTCTATTTAAAAAAGTGATTCTGCCAAGATTGTGGCTACGATTTGTCCGTACCTTTTTTGGGCCTTATTCAGACTACACGACTGGCGTCAACATCTGATAGCACTGATGATGTCTTTAAAATGAAAATGTTACGCTTACAAGACCGAATATTTTGGCCTCGGGCTTTAATTAAATCCTTAGCGTAACGGCGCGGATAACAATCGGACAACATAAAAGCTCCGGAAGTGGTTTATCTCCAAGATATTTATAAACGATGTATTTTTTGAGTAGTGCAATTGATGGGTTTAAAGAAATATTCTTCGTTGTTTTCTATCTCTCGCGTTGAAATATTTGCTGAAAATAGTGTATTAGACAGGTGTGTTTTAAGGCACTTGGAGATGAAATACAAAAAATTGTCATATTTCTTCGAAAAAATTCTCTCCTGCCTTTCCTTGAATTGATGCTTAAAATAATCTTTGGTAACGTAACTTTAATTAAATAATGCTCTTCATGAGCCATTCACCTTTTCTCGAGTACGAAATTATTAATATAAAAGTAATTATCTTATACCAAAAGGCTAAAAGCTTTCTTTATTCCTCTGTTCCGTGGACTGGCATTGATGGTCGTGATTCATCACCAATTTTGCTTTAAGACCGTCAATTTCATGCTTACATATCCAAAATGTCATAAACAGTCGGCGACTTTGCCTTAGCTAATTGTAATTTAGCTTATTAAGTCGGGGAAATTTCGTCTCGCTGCAGTGACAAGGGTGTCTAAATGGAAATAGAAGCTGTATTATTTCAGTTCAGTTTGATGTCAGTACATAGACGACATTTATTGGATTTCTGTTTTTTTTCTTGACATCCTACCATTTCTCTTGAAAAAGAAAATGATTATTTCCTTGCTCTGCCTTTGGTCTGTAATTTTTTAATTATGTATCTGTCTGAACAAAATTATTACTCGTGGTGGAAATTGCTTTTCTCGACCCGTGTTTAATCGCTTTTGTCAAGATAAAGAAGGATACATATTAAAAAAATGATGTTCTTTGACCAAAAAAAGGACGATGTCATTTACACACTGTCCCAAATTAAATAGTCTAGAAAATAATGGCAATAGAAACGCTATAAATCGAAGGTTAGTTATAAATCATCGAGGGCAACTAAATTATCAATTCGCTCGTCACTTTGTTTTCTTTAGTTGTTCATACACGTCGACGTAATGAAAAGCAAGCAATGTAGCCATCACACCCGCTAGCGCAGCTGTTTACATCTTGACCGACACACTATGGTGAATGACTGTATTCTTATTCGTGGCCGTGTTGTTATTGTAAAATGATGCATTCTTTAAATCATGCTTTGCTATGATTTGCACTAGTTTGGCTCTGTTTAAACACCGAAGGAACAATCAACGAATGTGCTTTCCATGAAAGGATGTCAACCATTTTTGTCATTGTCCCATCCGCGTGCAAAAGCTGGTTTTTCTGGTGAGTTTCAACGCTGAGCATCAGTTTTGTACAATCAGATGCAAGAAGCGTAAAATCAAAACGTTATTGGGAAGAACTCACTACACAGAAACATTATTTTATTCTATTTGCGTCGCAGATAGAATGTCCCCCCTTAACAGTTCTTCCACATTTAGAGAAGAAATGGATGTGGTCAATTGCAATTTTCAAGCTGTGATTCCTTTCCCACACACCATGTCAGCCCGGCTGACGGCATTTGTTACCTGTATTATCAGTGCAATAGGCTTGACAACTGCTGTTTCGTGCAATACATTATTTATCTTGGCCTTTGCAAGAACGCGCGAACTCCGAACCTACGCGAATCTGTTTCTAGTCAGTCTGTCATTTACAGATTTATTGGTTGGTAGTGTGGTGGAACCGCTGTATATCACACGGCAATCTCTTGCTTTAACCGGGATTGATAACTGTGAAGTCTGGGTTGCATATCTCACAATGGCTTTATTGTGTACGGGCGCGTCTTTTCTTAACCTTACTTTGATAAGCTGCGAAAGATACGTTGCAATCTTCTCTCCGTTAAACTATATGAGACTGGTGACAAAAGCTCGCGTTTTAAGCATTATCGGTGGTGTGTGGTTAGCTTGGATCACTCTAACTTGTATGCGCTTCGCTGGAATACCAAACCGTTTTGTGTATCTGATATGCTTTGCTGTGATTGGATCATGTTATGCTATTACAGGATTTATCTACTTCTTCATATTTCGCGAAGCAAGGAGGCATCATCGGCGAATTATTACAGAACAGCAAAACTATGACCCTCTTGCTCCTGGTGTAGCACGCGAGACCAAACTTGCAAAGACCATGGCGTACATATTCGGAGCTCTGTTAATTTGCTACACACCAGGAATGGTTATTCTTCTTATTCGCACGATCAAAGGTGATTCACCTGAATTACTATACAGTTTCTACCCCTGGGCTGAAAATCTGATTTTTCTAAACAGTTCCCTGAATCCAATGATTTACTGTTGGCGTAATCGAGAAATACGGCGCGTTGTTTTCTGTTTTTTAAGTCCGTTGACAAGTAAATTATTTAAGAATCGTGAAGGGTCTTTGATGAATAAGGCTAATTGTCAAGAAGGAAGATCGAAAACTCCAAAAACTGAACATGCAACATTTGCGATCAGGGTAGGGCCTCAAAACTCTAAGGAAACGATCAACGACCTTGAAGTGCTATCCATCTGCTCTAAAGATTAACTGGATATGTGAAGAGAGTTGCAAGAGATGGGATGCGGCGTTTCTTGATGAACAGGATTTTTTGTGCAACACTATACTTATTCGACGTGCGGCTATTCCTCGATAATTATTAACGTTTAATGTCCCGAAAAATATAACTCTAAAGGAAGAACACATGAAGATAAATGGAATCAAAATTAACTTTCCGAGGTTCACTGTGTGTTAGCCTGCGAAAACATCGCAGGCTGTGTGTCCACGGTTGCTTTGTACAGTGAAATGAAAAAATCATTTTCAATAAATAAACAACGATACATAAAAGAAGCACCATAAGGGAATATGCTTTGTGAAACAACAATGTCCTTTTTCTGTTTTATTTAAAATTCTTAAATATTTGAGTCAGGGTATAACTAAGCTAACCGACATTGATCGATACCGTGAAGCTATTTTTTAAAGGAACAATCTCACCGGTGTTTTCATCACTGTTTCGCTCTTAAAACTGAAGAGTATATTTCGTATTTTCTTCTTTAACAGTATATATTTACTCTACATATTTAATAAACCAATGCTTTGATCTTCCCGGTCATAGCTAAGGTTAAGTTCCAGGGCACCTAATACATGGTGACAAGATGATGATAAAGGACCATCTTCTCCGCCTTGGTAGTAAGCATACAGTTGGCTTGAATTGGAAAATGCTCGTCCCTCTATGCATTTGAAATGCGTGTTTCTCCTTAAGAAGTGCCAAGTCTTAACCAAACATACACAAGTCTTAAACTCAAGGGGTACTTTCCATTATGCTAAAAATTCCGGAAAGGTCGTCATGACGTAAATGAAAAAGCTCTTTGGTTCGTTTGAAGATTTCAGTCTGAGTTTTTCGATCAGTGAACAATGTTGCATTTCTCATTTGGTGGTTCGACTGGTCTCTGACCGGTCGCCGAATCTGTTGTACTGCCACCTCTCCACAACGGCCACTTTTTCTTGGCGGACAGTTCAAGCACTGACTCTTGTTTAAACCTCTCGAAAACGGCCACTTCTGTACAACGGTCGCTCTCTTCTGTCTCCAAGGTAGCCGTTATGGCGAGGTTGAACTGCAGTTTTAGATAAGCTTGACTAAGAGTGTTTTATCACCACTATACGGTGGAAGCGATTTCATGTCCTGAGATTTTGCGTAAGAGAGTGGGTAATGATGCACAACATGTTCACCAGGGGTACTCTGGGCTACTAAAGGTCAAAGTCCTATGTAAAAAAGAAACAACAGGCACTTGAGAACCGGCGGGAAGTCTCATTAGATTTTATACTGGTGCACTTTAAAAAATTGTGATAAAAATACTCACTATAATTATTTAAAAAATATATATTGCTGGTTTGCAGCCCTGTTGGTACACAGGAACAAAAGCCTTTCTCTCCTCTAGGAACTGTACACTTTTTTCATTGTAAATTCTGCGAAATAAAGGATTGTTTAGCCAACTAACATGGCTACCTTGTCAGGTGGTTGCGAACCAAGAATTTAAACATTGCCGGGATAAATTTCTTTTTCTTATCAACCCATATTTTTTTAACGTCCTAATAAAGACTGCAAAACAGTCAGTAGTTTTGCGTATTCAAGAACGCGCGAAAGGCTCGCGCGAAGGTGTAAGACTCTTACGCTAGCCTTACACTACGCTAAACCGATTTTGAGGAAAAACCGACTGTTTTGCCTTATGTTAATGTCCTGTTTTCTTATCTTTTTTTTCCATTTCAATGTTAGAACTCTTCCGGCTATTCTATTGCAAGTACGCATCTACTCAGTGCTTGTCATCAGTAAAATTTCTTCATTGAACCAGTGTCAAAAACTCTCATTAAAATCAATTGTGTTTTTGTTGGCACTGAAATTTGCATTGGTCACTTGACAACTCAAACTTTGCTTCTTAATGTTTATATGTGCAAAACACCGTGATGGTGTATATTTATTGGGTGTTTCTTCCATAATTGTCTCCACAAAGTACAATAAGGTCATTTTTTCAACTCGCTCTATTTATTTCTTGATCTCTTTTGATTCAGAGGTTTATGCCAGTTTTCCCTTTTTTAGAAGCCAAAGGAACAACTGTATATTGGGCGTTTTCAAAAGGACCCATGTCAACTAATTACGTCAAAGTCGCGCCCGCGAGGTTTATTCATTCTTGCTCGGAGGTCTTTGTATCGTATTTGCTTTGTCGTTGACAGTCAGTTGTTCACAAGCAAGTGGACGTCGTTGGGGTAGGTCGAAACAAAAAAGAACAACGCGACACATCAGCCATTTACCTCTAAAGGTTAAAAAAGAATGTCTACCCTTAATAGTTCTTCCACTTTTAGAGAAGAAATGGATGTGGTCAATTGCAATTTTCAAGCTGTGATTCCTTTCCCACACACCATGTCAGCCTGGCTGACGGCAGTTGTTACCTGTATTATCAGTGCAATAGGCTTGACAACTGCTGTTTCGTGCAATACGTTATTTATCTTGGCCTTTGCAAGAACGCGTGAACTCCGAACCTACGCGAATCTGTTTCTAGTCAGTCTGTCATTTACAGATTTGTTGGTTGGTAGTGTGGTAGAACCGCTGTATATCACACGGCAATCTCTTGCTTTAACCGGGATTGATAACTGTGAAGTCTGGGTTGCATATCTCACAATGGCTTTATTGTGTACGGGCGCGTCTTTTCTTAACCTTACTTTGATAAGCTGCGAAAGATACGTTGCAATCTTCTCTCCGTTAAACTATATGAGACTGGTGACAAAAGCTCGCGTTTTGAGCGTTATAGGTGGTGTGTGGTTAGCTTGGATCACTCTAACTTGTATGCGCTTCGCTGGAATACCAAACCGTTTTGTGTATCTGATATGCTTTGCTGTGATTGGATCATGTTATGCTATTACAGGATTTATCTACTTCTTCATATTTCGCGAAGCAAGGAGGCATCATCGGCGAATTATTACAGAACAGCAAAACTATGACCCTCTTGCTCCTGGTGTTGCACGCGAAACTAAACTTGCAAAGACCATGGCGTGCATATTCGGAGCTCTGTTAATTTGCTACACACCAGGAATGGTTATTCTTCTTATTCGCACGATCAAAGGTGATTCACCTGAATTACTATACAGTTTCTACCCCTGGGCTGAAAATCTGATTTTTCTAAACAGTTCCCTGAATCCAATGATTTACTGTTGGCGTAATCGAGAAATACGGCGCGTTGTTTTCCGTTTTTTAAGTCCGTTGACAAGTAAATTATTCAAGAATCGCGAAGCGTCTTTGATGAATATGGCTGATGACCAGAATGAAAGGTCAAAAACTCTAAAAACCGAATATGCAACGTTTGCGACCAGAGCAAGGACGCAGAATGTCTCTGAAACAATCAGGGACTTCGAAATAATGTCTGTTTATTCTAAAGAGTAAACGAAGGGTGAAGTCATATGTAACATACGGTTATGGCCGAAGGCCGTCGCATTTGCTCGCTTGGAAAAATTTAAAATTGAACTTGAAAAATAAGATGGCTATACGCGAGCTTCTGCGAATAAATCCAGCGGAAGTTGATGCTGCAGTGAATGCACATATCCTCTAGAATTGTATTCATGTGAGTATTATTGCGAGAATGCCAATGAAATTTCAGTAGTAATTAGTGTCAGCTGGTTGAACTTTGAGTTCCGCTGTATTTTACATTTTGATTTTGAAAATAAAGCCTTGAAAAACAGAGTGAGTTCAGTAACGCACTTGAATACCTGTTCTTTTCAAATAGCAAACCTCTCTTTGCACGGGAAGAATTTCTAGCGGAGAGGGATAGAATTTGTCGTTTTGAAAGTGGTGTTTAAAAAACTGATCTATTTTTGTAATTGTAAAACTCTTCCTGTGTCAGGTTTTATTTTTCCCACCGTTTGGCCTCAAGCACCTTTCCTAACACTGTATGAGCAATAAATATTGAATTCACTCATAAAATATTTAAATCAACAAACCAATGTATTCTTATGTAAAGATTGAACGTTTTTTGTGTACCTAGTACCTGCCGAAAGTGATATTGGCTGGTTCTTCACACATAGATGTCACGAATTGAAATAATTGACAAATGTTTCATGCATAAAACCTGGAGATCTTCTCGGATCTTTTTAAGTGCACGTATATATGTAGTTCACTGAATATTTCGTCAACATTCAGTCTATCAACGAAATCCTAAGGTGTTCCTATTCGAACGAAGCCTTTCTTTGTTTCAGTGTTTCTATAAGTATTGTAGGGTGTTCCTCAAATGAAATCTTGAAATTATTTTAATTTACCCACGTGGGAATATATGAGATATGTGTTGGTAATTCGTTGTCGCTAAGGGAGGACTATCTTGCAACATAAAACTTTATATGTCTGAAAACTGGTCATATATTCTGAAATGAGCTCTTGACAAACTTATTTTTCAGTCAGAAGTACTGGTCCAGTCCTTTATCATCATTCCGGTCTCGAGCAGTTATTATCCCTGGCAACGTTTTATCTCCCTTGACAGTAAGAAATATCTTAATGAGGTTCTATCACAAAAGCCCCCCCAAAAATCGAAGCAAAACAAAAAAAGACGAAAATCAATAAATTGAAATAAAAAACATTGTTTTCCTCGACGTTCTACTACATGAATTTCCCAATTTTGAGCTCTCGCTCAATTTCCAATTAACAAGTGCATGAGTTATTACCCCTGCGATAAGCAAAACTAATAGATTGAACTTCAATTAAAGACAACAGCTTTTCAGTTTGTCAGCAGGAGAAATTTGCAGTTATGAAGTTCATATAAAGCAATGGCCTGTATCTACAATGCATGCGCGCTAAAAATTAGGTTTTGAACCTTACGCTTTCCGGTGTCTTCCTCTGTCACACTAGAAGTTTATTGTGAATTGATCATGACGTACATTACAAATGGAAGCAGAAAAGATTATACGTGAGTATCGGAGTATTAGTTTACCGGTAAAAGTTAATTACTAATTACCATCTTTAAAATAGAAGATAATGCAAGAGGACGTTTAAAACGAGTCTTCCCTCAGTTGTT